ACGACAAAGAGATCCAAGGTGATACTCCCCCTCTGTGTGGCGATAGTCAGACCGCAGTTGCAGTACTGCGTCCAATTTTGGGTGCCGTGCTTCAAGAGGGATGTGGATAGACTGGAGAGGGTCCAGAGGAGGCCACTCATATAGTTAGGGGCTTACAGGACAAGCCCTACGAGGAGAGACTAAGGGACCTGGATCTCTTCAGCCTCTGCAAGAGAAGGCTGAGAGATGATTTTGTGGCCGCCTACAAATTCATTAGGGGGATGCAGCAAGGGATTGGAGATGCTCTGTTCACCAGGGCGCCTCTTGGGGTAACAAGGAATAATGGTCACAAACGGGCAGAGAGCAGATTTAGGCTAGACATCAGGAAGAACTTCTTCATGGTGAGGGTGGCCAGAATCTGGACTGGGCTCCCAAGGGAGGTGGTGCTGTCCCCTGCCTTGGGGGTCTTTAAGAGAAGGCTGGATGGGCATCTGGCTGGGGTCATCTGACCCCAGCACTTGTTCCTGCCCAGGCCAGGGGTCAGATGTGATGATCTGTGGAGGTCCCTTCCAACCCTAGCATCTATGAATCTATAAATCTATGAAGCAGATGGGACCAGAGGAGTCTGCGCTCTGCAGTGACCGTGGTAACCAAATTGTCAGCTAGCGGAGTTTGGGGAGAGACAGAGATGGTATTCTGCCGCTGGGGGGCTTGGAGAGTGCTAGTGCCCCCCTGAATTGGCTGCCCCGGTGGCACAGGCCACACGTGGAATTGGTGGCACTTATGCTGCTGCCATGCTGCTGGCACGCTCAGCGACTGGCTGTTTGGGGACAACCCCCCTTCCTGGTCACTAGCTGGCTGCTGAGGGATCCCCCCCAGTCATGCCCTGCTGGAGCCCCCACAAACTAGGGAGGCACCAGCTGCCCATGCCCAGGGTGTCTGTATCGCTGGTGCTCCGTGCCACTCCCCCTCAGACCCTGCACTGACACAGCACAGAAGGAAAGCCCCATGTGCTGGAGCTGGCTGCCTTTCCTGCCAGGGGTGCGCAGCACAGGAGGGAAGCCCTGCAGGCTGGAGCCCATTGCCCCACAGGCCAGGTGAAAGTGCTTAGCGGGCCACGTCAGGCCTACGGGCTGTATTTTGTGCACCCCTGCTGTACACACATGGCCTCAGGGGCTTCAGGTCTGGCTGCCCCAGGCAACGCGAGTCCTTGTTATAAGGTCCCAGCAGGAGGAAAGAGCAGAGCTAATAGCAATGAAGCTGTGCCCGGTGCTGCTGGCCTGTGATCAGCCATCACGCATGTCCCTGGTGGCTGCCAGGCCTTCCAGGCAAGTCCAGGATGTCACAGTTAGTCTCTGCAAGGAGGGGCGAGTTTCCCCTCCTTGCCTTGGTGCTGGGCAGCAGGAGCAGCTGCTCAGTCCCGTCCTGCCAGGAACTGCAGGCAGCGCAGCCTGGGCCCGCGGCAGTGCCGGGCAGGAGGTCGATGGTGCCAGAAGGTCCCGTGGCCATTGGAGCAGCAGCAGAGGAGGGGCCATTCTCCTCCTCCAGGCCTTTGTGGGGGAAATGACCAATGCCTGCAGCAGGTTTGTACGCAGGGTTTTGCAAATGGTTCAAATGCAGCAATCGGCTCTGATTCCTCTAGATAGCGACCTCCAGACAAAACACCCCACATGCCCCTCACCCCACACATCGCTCAGACCAAAACTGCTTCCCTGGACACACCCCTCGCCTCATCCCTAAAACCCACCCACCCCAACTGGGAAGATCCCACCACCTCTGGGAGCTCATCTCTGGCCCCAAGTATGCCACGGGAGTCGGGCTCCAACATGCCACGGCTTCATTAAACACCTGCTCTGAGCTCTCACTGCCGCGTTAGGCGGCTTCTGAGTCTTGTTAGTAAATGCTCGTGTTTGGCTGGCAGGGCAAGGAGCAGGTCTCAGGGATGACTTTGCCTTATCAAGGGAGAAAAATCAGAGAGGACACACTGTTGTATATTTATTACACGTAAGAGAGGTCTGTGCTTTCAGGTGACTGCTGGGATCTTTAGAGGATCTGACCATGGCTCCTAATCCAGGCTGGAGGGCAGAGCTGCACTGATGGACACACCAGCTGGCATTGTGTTCGACGTGTTCATCATTCCCCAGCCACCCGACAGCCCGAGCAAAATTTAGAGCTGACATCATTACACTGGAGACATGATTGACCCATTTTGTGTCAAAGATGGGTGCTGTACCCTGGAAAGATGGACCCAAGACTGCAGGACTGGGCACTACCAAGTCTGCCTCCAAGCCCCGAATTAGTGTGGCTTCAAACAAGGAGTCCCCTCTATTACCCTCCCAGTGAGAACTGACTTGGTTACAGGAAAAATTAAGACAATCCTATTGGCATGGAAAAGCAGGTGAAAGGCTAGAAAGGAGCAGCATATTTGGTGTGGCAAAAAAAAGGGCAGGCACACAGCTGAAATCAGCAGGGCCAAAGCATTATTGGAGTTACAGCTAGCAAGGGACATGAAGGGTAATAAGAAGGGTTTCTACAAGCATATCAGGAACAAGAGGAAGGTCAGGGAAAGTGTGGATCCCTTACTGAATGGGGGAGGCAGCTTAGTGACAGATGATGTGGAAAACACTGAAGTGCTCAATGCCTTTTTCACGGCAGTCTTCACAGGCAAGGTCAGCTGCCAGATTACTGCATCTGGCAGTGCAGTTTGGAGAGGAGGTGAGCAACCAACAGTGGCAAAAGAGCAGGTCAGGGAGTATTTAGAAAAGCTGGAGTTGACAAGTCCATGGGGTCAGATGGGAGACACCCGAGGGTGTTGAGGGAATTGGCCAATGTGAATGCAGAGCCATTGGCCATCATCTTTGAAAACTCATGGCAATTGTTAGAGGTATCAGATGATTGAAAAAGGGCAAATATAGTGTTTGTCTTTAAGAAAGGGAAGAAGGAGGATCCAGGGAACTACAAACCTGTCAGTCTCACCTCCATTCCTGGAAAAATCATGGAGCAGGTCCTCAAGGAATCGATTTCTAGGTACCTGGAGGAGAAGAAGTTGATTAGGAACAATCAGCATGGATTTACCAAGAACAAGTCATGCCTGACCAACCTGATTACCTTCTATGATGAGATGACTGGCTCTGTGGATATGGGAAGAGTGGTGGATGTGATGTACCTTGACTTTAAGCAAGGCTTTTGATACAGTATCTCACAACATTCTTGCAAGCAAGCTGTGGAAGTACAGGTTGGATGAATGGTCTGTAAGGTGGATAGAAAACTAGCTGGATCATTGGGCTCAGAGGATAGTAGTCAATAGCTTGATGTCTAGTTGGCAGCCGGTATCAAGTGGCGTACCCCTGGGGCTGGATTTCTTCAATTTTTTAATCCATGAACTGGAAGACGGGATGGAGTGCCCCCTCAGGTCTCAGTGGCGGCAGATGACAGAACAAGGAGCAACGAGTTGCAAAAAGGGAAGTTTAGGTTGGATATTAGGAAAAACTGTCTCACTGGGAGGGTGGTGAAGCAGTGGAACAGGTTTTCTAGAGAGGTGGTGGACTCTCCATCCTTGGAGGTTGTTTAGGCCTGGCTGGGATGATCTAGTTGGGGTCTGGTCCTGCTCTGAGCATGGGATTGAACTAGACGACCTGCTGAGATCCCTCCCAACCCTACTTTTCTACACTTCAATGATTCTATGATATAAGGAGAGACTAAAAAGGTCAGATTTAGAAATTTAGAAAACAGATGCTTGAGGGAGGACATAAGTGTTTCCAAAATACTATATGGTGAAGAGAAAGTCAATACAGATTTATTATTGACTCTCTCTCTCTCCCAATACAAGAACAAGGGGTTACACCATGCAACTAGGAAGGAGTAAGTTTAAAATGAACAAATGGAAGTTCTTTGTCATCCAGTATGTCATTCAAGTGTGGGACTCATTGCCACTAGACATGGTGGATGCTGAGAATTCAGGCAGATTCAAAAAGGGAGTGCATACATTCTTGGAGGAAAGGAGCATCGGTAGCTATTGAGCTCAGGAGTGAGGGGCACGGTCTCTGAATCCAAACTTCGTAGACCTTAAATGTTGAAGACTGCAAATGAGAGGGGAACAAACAAAAAACCTTGGTCACACCCAGCTCACTCTCCCTTTCAGCATTCACTTTCTGCCATGGTGTGACAGGAGACTAGGCAAGACTGACCTATGACTTGACCCAGTAAATGGCAAATCTTATGTTCTTACATTCCCTTACATGCTGTTTCCACATTTTGAGAAGGCAAGAAAATTCAAGGAGACGCGGGTAGAAAATGCAACGCTTTTATTCACCACGTTAAAGGAAACAGCTAAAAAAGAAAAAAAATCAACAAAAATCTATATATTAGTTTAAAAAATTTGTCTTTTTATCTCTACTCTCCAAATATGTACAGATCCCATTTCCAAATAATAATAACAATAACAACAATAATAATATTAATAATACAAAAGCTACTGAGATCAGCAAGGGAGGGGGAAAAATGGAGAAAAATTTCGACAGTGTTGTGTGTGAAGAGGGAGGGAATTTAAACAAGGAGACAAAACACAGACACGTCCAAGCCACTGAACCTATGTCACAGCCACTAATATTTACTCCCTGGAAACAAAACGAGAAGACAGTGGGGTGTTTTTTTCAAGGGAACCCACGGGAATTAAGCACCAAAAGCTCAAGCTATTTGAATGAGTGCTGCATTCCCCTAGGCCTCCTTTAAGAAGCTCCAGCTTGAGAGTTTCAAAAGCAATGCATGATCTTATGGTGTTAAGGCCCCTGATTAGCAAAAATCTCTTTACGGGGTGTCCCTGATATACCGTATCTTCTCACATACCACACATCCCCAGTAAGATAGACACCTCTTTTTGGGAAGGCAGAATGAAAAATACAAGATTTTTTTCCAGAGTTATGGCCACATACAGCAGGGATAGAGCATTAACTTCTGCTCATTTGCCCTCCTTTTTCTGTTCAGGCCAAAGTTCTGGTCTTAATCCTTTCAACGCTGAACTGTCAGCAGCTCAACCAAAAGCTGAAACTCTAGTTGTTGCTGAACATTGCACTCCATGAGCGGATTTAAAATGTTGCAAAAAAGCTTAAAAACAGGGCTGTGAAATAGGGGAAGAGAGACTGTACGAGCTACATTGCAAATTCTTCAGCATTCTGGGTTAGTGGAACATCAAGACCATTAAAAAGGAAAGAGAGTTGTTAACATCCATGGGGTGAAGAGCAATTAATAGATTCCAGTGAGCTATCAAGTCAATCAGCTCCCTCAACACTGCTTGAATAGAAATGCCACAGCTGCTATTCTGGGCAGAAGGATCAACTTCCCCACTTAAGATATGCACCCCCATTTTGAAAGTCTCATTTGAAAGTGGGGAGGAGTGTGTGGTATACAAGTATATACGGTACTCCAAAAATGTGTTTGCATTGGTACACCAGTGAAAAATCTCCTCTCCTTCCCAACAGCAACCACACAGGATCTATAGCCCTGTCTCATGGGGGAAGAGGGAGTTTGATGACAAAGGGGATGGGCTGGATTTCTCTGCTGGAGTCTTCAAAGTACCATGAGAGCCAGCACTGGTATCAGGTGAGTTGGAGGTCTCTGGATCAGCCCCATGGGGCCACTGAAGCTGAGTCGTGGCTCCCAGCCTCCAGCGTTGCAGTCAGTAGTGTCTCCCATATATCCAGTGTTTGGCGATGCCTCGCAGCACCGCAAATACCCAGTGTTAGCCCAGTCTGAGGGAACATCACATGAGGCAAGGACCTGACCCCCACCCCTCCAAACCATCACAGTTCTTTGAGGTTGGGGAGTGAAGCAGCGGGGTGGTGGAGGTCAGCCCCTCTGGGAGTAGAGGAAGGAAAGGAAACACCCTTGAGCAGGGAAGGGCAAAAGAAAGGGAATGGGTGAAAGTGGGATGATAGGAGATGGGGAAGTGGGTGGAGAACAAGACACAAGACAGATGGGGAATGGAAGAGCTGAGGAGAGATGGAGACAAAAAGCAAAAGAGGGACGAGTGTGCATGAGGTGGTGGAGTGTATGGTCAGAAGATAGATAGATAGATAGATAGATAGATGGGGTAGAGTATATGGGCAGTAGGGAGGTAGATAGCGAGATAGACAAAGTATGAGGGAATATATATAGACAGACAGACAGCTATGAGTATAAGGAAGATAGACAGATAGAGAGACAGCTGTATATGAGGGAGACAGACATGTGGATGGGAGTAAGGAAGATGGACAGACAGCTGTAAATGAGGAAGACAGACAGATGGGTGTAGAAGATAAATAGAAAGACAGTTAAATAGAAAGACAAGGAAGGCACGGGTAGATGGGTATTGGAGGGGGACTAAATGACCTCTGAAGGTCCCTTCACCCTACTTTGCTATGATTCTATGAGAAAAGATATAGCTAGGACAGACATGCAGTGTCTGAGGAAGACAGATACATAGAGGGGTCTGAGGAAGATACAAAGCTGTCTGTCTGTCTATGAGGAAGACATATGTAGGAAGTAGGAAGTGTGAGGAAGACAGACAGATGGACAAATAGCTGTGTATGAGGAAGATAAATATGTAGAAGTGTGTGAGGCAGATACATAGCTGTCTGCCTATCTTCCCCACACCTATCCACGTACTGTCTTCCTCATACACATCTGTCCATCTGGCTATATAAGAGAGATACATAAAGGGGTGTGAGGCAGATAGAGACACAGATAGATGGCTGTATATGAGGAAGACAGAGAGGTAGATGGGGTTGGACTAGATGGCCTTTGGAGGTCCCTTCCAGCTCTACTTTTCTATGATTTGATGAGGAAAAAGATAGGACAGACCGACAGTTGTACATGAGGAAGACTGATACATAGATTGGTGTGAGGAAGATATACACAGCTGTCCACCTGTCTGTCTATGAGGAAGACAGACGTAGAGAAGTGTGAGGAAGACAGATAGATGGAAACCTGTGCGTGAGGAAGACAGATACATAGAGGGGTATGAGACAGATAAAGACAGACAGACAGCTGTACATGAGAAGATAGGAAGATAGATGGGTATTGGGGGTTGGACTAGATGACCCTGGGAGGTCCCTTCTAGTCCAGCTTCTCTAAAATGCTATTAGGAAAGAGATAGGAAATATAGACCTCTGTATGTCAGGAAGACAGACAAATGGATGGGTATAAGGAAGACAGAGAGATGCAGAGGAGGTAGGCAGAGGAGGAGTGGGACAAGGAATGGGGTGGTAGAGCCAGGGCATCAGGGAGATCCCATATCCCTAACCCCTCCAGCACCAATATGTCCAGTTCCCAGAGCTGGGCATGGTCTGGCCACCCTCCATCCACCCACCCACCCCTGTAGCTGTGGCCGGATAGACACCAGGAGGCCTATGCCCAGGAGAGCCACCCCAAATCCCTCCCCCCACCCTGGCATAGCCCAGCTCACACCATATTGAGAGCGTCTTCATTCAGGAAGCGGTGGAGATGCTGGAAGAGGGGACGGTCCTTGGCATCCCGAGCCCAGCATCTCAGCATCACTTCATAGAGGGCCAAGGGGCAGGCTGGGGGCCGTGACAGGTAGACCTAGGTATGGGGGTAAAAGATCAGTGTGGGGGGAGGTCTAACCACCTCATGCCCCCTTTTCATCTCTGCTGCCCTTCCAGGAGGGCTAAAGTTTTAATTCTTTCACATCTGCTCAGCCAAAATCTGAAACTCTTGTTGCTGAGGCTGGAGACTGAACTCTGGTGCCCCCGTACCTGCTCGCCCTGGTCTCTGAAGAACTGCCCGGCATTCTCGATGACCTGCTCATCGGTGAGTTGGCTGTAGGGCTGCTCCTGGCACAGCATGAGCACCTCCCACAGCGTCACCCCAAAGGCCCAGACGTCTGAGGCTGTTGTGAACTTCCCCTATGGAGCCAGGAAGGGGAGAGGGACAGGGTGAGAGGGACAAGGGGTCTTGGGTGGGATGCTGAGTGGGTCCCAGGACACATTTTCTTTCCCCCACACCCATTTAGCCACACCCTTACTCCCTAGCCTCCTCCCATCCCCACTGCTTTCACTTAGCCCCTTCCCCTTTGGGATAGCCCCACCCCTTTATTTAGCTCTGCCTGCTCTGGGATAAGACTGCCCTTAACTTCGATTTGCTCCTTCTGGGCTAGACCCACCCTTCTTTTAGTCCCACTTCCTCTTGAATAGCCTTACATTGCCTTTAGCCCTGCCTCCTTGGGGATAAGTCCCACTTCCCCTTAGCCTCACCCATTCTGGGTTAGCTCCGCCCTTCATTTAACTCCGCCCCTTTTCAGTCAGTTTCTGGGATCCAGCTTTCCCTATGCTGCAGGAGCTACTCCCCCTTATACTTCCTGGGTCCTTCTGC